TCTCTCCATTGCCATGGACCGACCACCACCTGGTCAGCTTTAGACTCACTGCACCCCCCAACCTCCGCAGAGGTGGAGGACCCATTAAGTTGGTCCGCCCCAGGAGGCTTATGGATCCAGATGGATTCCTGATGGCTCTTGGGGAATTTCCCGCCACTTCGGTTGGTGATCCTGTTGATGCTCTGGTCGCTCTCTGGAATGGGGAGATGACTAGAGCAATAGACACGATCGCTCCAGAACGTCCCCTCTCAAGTAGCCGAGCTAAACCAGCTCCTTGGTTTACCGAGGAGCTGGCAGCGTTGAAGCGAAAGAAGAGGGAACTAGAGAGCGTGTGGCGTTCGGATCCGAGCGAGCCAAATCGAACACGGTTTGTGTCCTTTTTAAGGGCATATGCCGCGGCAATAAGAGCCGCAAAGAAAACTTTCTTTGCGGCCACTATTGCGTCTGCAAAGAACCGTCCGGCTGAACTGTTCCGAGTTGTCAGAGGCCTGTTAAAACCCACCATTCAGGATGGGTGCCCTGATGACTCGGCAGCTCGCTGTGAAGCCTTTGCTCGGTTTTTTGCAGACAAAGTCGCTTTGATCCGCTCTGGACTGGACACCATATTAACGGCAGTCTCTGAGGATGTAACACGAACATCTGCTTGTCCAATTTTGATGGATTCATTTCAATTAGTTCAAACCGAGGATGTGGACAAGGTGCTTGGAGGAATGAGAGCTACCACATGCATCCTAGACCCCTGCCCATCCTGGCTTCTAAAGGAGGCCAGAGGGGGATTGGCCGAGTGGGTGAAGGTGGTGGTTAATGCCTCCCTTCGGGAAGGCAAAATTCCAGCCAGCTTAAAGCAAGCTGTTATAAAACCGCGTTGAAAAAACCATCACTGGACCCCACTCAATTCGTCAACTATCGGCCTGTTTCCAATCTCCCCTTTTTGGGCAAAGTCATGGAACGTGTGGTGGCCTCACAACTCCAGGCATTCTTGGTAGACACGGATTATCTGGATCCGGCACAGTCTGGCTTTAGGCCGGGGCATGGTACCGAGACAGCCTTGGTCGCCTTAGTGGATGATCTGCGTCGGGAGCTCGACGGGGGGAGTGTGTCCCTGTTGGTGCTGCTCGACCTCTCAGCGGCCTTCGATACCGTCGACCACGGTATCCTTCTGAGACGCCTCGCGGGAATGGGTCTTGGAGGTACTGCCTTGCAGTGGCTCCAGTCATTCCTCGAGGGTCGGTCTCAGAAGGTGTTACTGGGGGACTCCTGTTCTACTCCACAACCGTTGCATTGTGGGGTTCCTCAGGGTTCAATACTGTCTCCCATGTTGTTTAACATCTACATGAAGCCGCTGGGCGAGATCATCCGGAGTTTCGGGGTGCGGTGTCATCTGTACGCAGATGATGTCCAACTCTGTCACTCCTTCCCACCTGCTACTAAGGAGGCTGTCGAGGTCCTGAACCGGTGCTTGGCCGCTGTGACGGTCTGGATGGGGGCGAACAAATTGAAATTGAATCCAGACAAGACAGAGGTACTCCTGGTCAGTCGTGAGGCCGAACAGGGTATAGGGTTACAGCCTGTGTTGGATGGGGTCGCACTCCCCCTGAAGACGCAGGTTCGCAGTTTGGGTGTGATCCTGGACTCATCGCTGAGCCTGGAACCCCAGGTTTCGGCGGTGACCAGGGGAGCATTCGCACAGTTAAGACTCGTGCGCCAACTGCGACCGTACCTTGGGAAGTCTGACTTGGCCACGGTAGTCCACGCTCTGGTTACATCCCGCCTTGACTACTGCAACGCTCTCTACGTGGGGTTGCCTTTGAAGACGGCCCGGAAGCTCCAACTAGTCCAACGGGCGGCAGCCATGGTACTAACAGGAGCAGGGCGCAGGGAGCATACAACTCCTCTGCTGTACCAGCTCCACTGGCTGCCGATTTGCTACCGGGCTCAATTCAAAGTGCTGGCATTGGCCTTTAAAGCCCTAAACGGTTCTGGCCCAACCTACCTATCCGAACGTATCTCGGCCTATCAGCCCACCAGGACCCTAAGATCTTCTGGGGAGGCCCTGCTCTCTATCCCGCCTGCTTCACAGGTGCGGCTGGCGGGAACGAGGATAGGGCCTTTTCTGTGGTGGCCCCACGGCTTTGGAATGCCCTCCCTATAGAGATAAGATCAGCCTCCTCGCTGATGGCATTTCGAAAAAAACTGAAAACATGGATGTTTGAGCAAGCATTCGGCTAATCCGATGCAACGATGGAGTTGATGATCAAGGACTGGTAATCATAGACGACGAAATTGGATTATGATTTTAATTAAGAGATGCATTGGTCTGTATTGGTGGCCCAATACTGTGTATTCTATATGTATGTGTTTTATATTTTTATCGGAATATTGTTGTTTTTAATATTGTAAACCGCAATGAGTCGCCGTTTTAGGCTGAGATATTAGCGGTATACAAGTGTACTAAATAAATAAATAAATAAATAAATAAATAGTTGGCAGAGCACAGTACCTGTAGTTCTGTTCTCAGCTGATGGATTTGCGCTCGTAGTTTTTGCATCTCCTCCTTCTGTGTCTCCCGCTCATGCCTCAGCTCCTCCAGCTCCATGATGCTTGCCGTTTGGCTATCAAGCCCTTCGATTCCAGAGCCTTCTTTCAGGCTGTTTATCAACTTTTCTTTGGACTAGATTTCAAAAACATAAAGTCAATAAACCCAAATAATAAATAATAGAATTCTATGGTTGATTAGACTTACTTTACAGATGCTAACTGTGATTAAAGGGTTCATTTTGAATTCAGAAAGACCTTGGTTGCAAAAAGGATCAGCCACTCCATTCTATTCAAGGGATAGATAACCTTTGCCCATGGAAGTTCTAACATAAGTCATTGCCTAACATAGCAGAAGGGATCCTATGGCTGTACATAGCTACATGAACTCCTATTATCCCTCTCCGCTGGAATGATCCATATCCCAATCTGCACAAGTGGGATCTCCAACAATTTTTTTGTGATCTTGAATATTTCCCTTTCAGGATTCCACGTATTCTATTCCAATCCTGATTCACACAATAGTGAACAAACCTATCAAACATGTTCAGTCCTCAGAAGATTACAGGCAGTCCTCGGGTTGCAAACATCCAAGTTACTAACAACTCAAAGTTAAGAACAGGATGGGATAACAGGAGATGAGAGAAATCTACCCCTTGGAAGGGAAATTCACTCCTGGAAGAGTTATCATGAGGAAAATTTGTCAACACTGAAGCTTTCCCACCAATCCTTGTTTCCACAACAAACTATTTTTTTTCAAAATCCAATCATCACAGGGACAGAAAGTGAGGTGAAATCTTCTGAACAGGGGCACTGACAGCAAAACAAACACCACAGGGGTGTTAACCCATCCCTATTTGGCTGGAGTTGCACTTGAAAAGTACCTTACATACAAATTCAACTTGGGAACAAACCTACAGAATCTATCTTGTTCATAACTTGGGGACTGCCTGTATTTGAAACAGAAAGGTTGTTGCTGGAGTTGTTTCCCTTTTAAAGTTCCTCTCACAACCCAACAACACTCTCTGTTTTAGGCATGAATAATATGTTTTAGGCAATAATAATAATAATAATAATAATAATAATAATAATAATAATAATAATAATCTTGTTTTGAAACAGCCGAACAGGCAGTAGAACGAGGATCACATACATATCTTGCCTGATGAGACCTAGCTTAGTTTGCACGCATTTACAGAGACAGCTTTACCTGGAGTATTCGCGTGGCTTTTTGTTTGTAGTCAACCAGCTCTTGCTTAGCAGACTCCAGGTTGGCTTTGGCTATTCTAGCTTGCTGCTGCAATTCATCTGCCTTCCGCTTTTCTTCCACAAATTTCCGCTCAGCTGCAGTTACGGCTTCAGCCAAATTCTGACGTTCAGCTTCCATTTTGCTGAGGCGTGCAGCAAATTCATTCTGTAAAGGTGAATGTTTATTTGGTATTATTATAAATGTAAATCAATACAAAGTAAGTCTTCTTTAACAGAAATATGAACAAGAACTACAGTAGAGTCTTGCTTATCCAACCTTTGCTCATCCAACATTCTGTATTATCCAACGCACTCTGCCTCCCGCACGGATTCACAGCTGTTTCAATGCATTGTGATGCTTTGGTGCTAAATTCGTAAATACAGTAATTACTATGTAATGTTACCGTGTGTTAAACTGCTTTTTCTGTCCATTTTTTTGTAAAACATGATGTTTTGGTGCTTAATTTGTAAAATCATAACATAATTTGACATTTAATAGGCTTTTCCTTAATCCCTGTTTATTATCCAACATTTTTGTTTATACAACATTCTGCCGGCCCGTTTATGTTGGATAAGTGAAACTCTACTGTATATATCTATACACAAAATAAAAGTGAAAATATATATGAGTGTATGTGGCTGGAGCATCCACTTACACAGACAAGGTCCTGACTCCACAAACAGCTATGATCCCCACCTATAAAGAGCCACCAAAGTCCTTCCCTCCAATGACATTATAGTGAGCACCATGAACGTGTACAAGAGCACTGCCAATGTCCTCCAAAAAACCTCAATGCCCATTACCCAAGTGAAGGCTTTTATATCAGGACAATTCCATCCTAGATTTCATGTGTTTCCTCCACCACAAATATCCCAGTGTTCCTTTCTCTCTCTCCCCTGGTGTGGAATTTGCATGACCTCACCCACTGCCTCTCCCATAACCCTTTGGGAGGAGGATGGACCATGGATGATGGACATGTAGTACTTTCACTCACTTCCTGAGACCACTGCGATGCCCACCAATGAAGGACCTGGACCAAAGTTGGCACACAGACTCCCCATGACCAACAGAACATAATGGAGGGGTTTGGGGAACTGACCCACCCACATGGGAGTTGTAGTTCACCCTGCATCCACAGAGCATTCTGAAACCCAGCAATGACAGATCTGCACCAAACTTGACACACAGACCCAGGATGGCCAACTGTGCATACAAGCAGGGTTTGGGGGCGAGTGGCCTTGGCATCTGTGAGTTGTAGTTCACCTGCACCCACTGGACTCAGCCAACTTTGGATCTAAACTCGGAGCACAGACAAAGAATGCCTTTTTCAAATAACCCAGGCATCACCGGGTCCCCAAACTAATATATAATAAAAAATAAAACCGGCCTAGAACTTTTTAAAATAAGGCAAACTTGCTATCCCAGTGAGGAACAACAACAAAACTTTATTTATATACTGCTCTATCTCCCCGAGGGGGCTCAGAGCAGTTTCCAAGTAACATCATCAATACATACAGGGTAAACAACATAAACATAAAATTAAGAAAGCAATATAAGCATAAAAATCACAATATAAGATATATATTTAAAATAATCCTGCCCGTTCAACTGTGCAAATGCTTAAAAGGAAACATAACCCAAAAGAAGACTAACTGAACATTCCCATTCCAGTCACAATACAAATAGTTTTCTGGGTCTTTGGATGTTCATGGAAAGCTTAAGGATGGCAGGCAGCAACTCTCCTAACTCTCTGTCAGTCCACAAAAACTCTTCAAAGTCTCTCAAGTCTTCCTTGTGCCTCTCTTCTTGAAAGCATCTCAAAAATTTCACACTTCTCACAAACTAGTCATCTCTATTGGCCAACCGTCTCGTGTGATGCTGACCTCCAATAAAAGTAACTTAAACCATATCATTAACACTTTATTCACTTGGAGGAAAGACTACACAGCATTGTAGAGCATGCAAGGGCAACTTTTTGGACTTCAGCTCCCAAAATCCCCCAGTGAACAGTTTCTGGACAAGCTAGGAATTATAGGCCAAAAAATCCCAAGCCTTCCATGCTCTAGAACAAAGGTCACGTGAATGCCACTTGGAAGAACAAAAGAAACAAGAACATAGATCACAGTGTGGGAAAATGGGGAGTAGACTGCAAAAACATGCAATTTACATTTGGCTTTGTTTGGCGGTTCTTGGGATTCTAGTAAAAAATAAGATCTGTCAAGCCTAACATGTATCCATCCCTTTTGCAGAGTTCAGTTCCCCATTCAGTGAAAAGAAACATATGGTTCTGACCTGCATCTGTTTGTAACTTTCTTGCTCCCTTCGAAGTGCAGACTCTGCATCATGTAACCTCTCCTGAAGGGTCTGAAGAGCTTGGTTGTGCATACTGGTCCCTTCACTGTTATCCTGTAGTATTCTTGAGAAGCATAAATAAAGATTAGCTAATATAGAAATAAGGTACAGCCTTTACTTTCTATATACAATTCAACTGCCTATACACAACATTTCATTTCCTTTAAATTTTATTCCTGTCCCAAACCACTTCTTCCCTTTATCTTTCCCCCAAACTGTGATGGTGGTATTTATATTATGAAATACAGTGAATTTTTGGATGCATAATAATAATAATAATAATAATGCCTACAGCAGTTAAGAACTACCATTTCTTGGAGTGATTTGCCATGCAGAGCAACACATTCTGAATGAATTTGTTTGATCTCATCTGCAGAAGAGTAAGACAAAGCCAAAGGAAAAGATTCAACTGGGAAAACTTGGTTCCCCAAACTTGGTTCCCCAAAGCTGCTGATGTTCTAGAGCAGTGGTTCTCAACCTGTGGGTCCCCAGGTGTTTTGGCTTTCAACTCCCAGAAATCCTAACAGCTGGCAAACTAGCAGGGATTTCTGGGAGTTGTAGGTCAAACACCTGGGGATTCACAGATTGAGAACCACTGTTCTGGGATCTGAAGTGCAACGCACAGATAGCCGGATTTAGGAAGTAATTGGTCTAGATTCAGAACATGGTCTCTGGAGCTGTCTGATGTAGAACAACAGACTTTTTTGTCCCTCAATGTGCCAGGGACCGTCACCATATTTGCGCCCATGTTTCTTCTTCCTGGAAACATGCTTCTGAAAGGTGATAGCCTTTTGGAGGCTTTAAAGACTTCTTGTGTTCCAGCCAACAGAATTTCAGAATCATACTCCGAATTCAGACAGAAATTAATTCTGATTTAAATGATCCCCAAGTTGCATGGGAATTCCTATTCTGGGAAGGATCCCACATTAAATTGATCATGCATAAAATCTCTATTGATATATCCTTGGAAACTTCTGTCATCCAAAACCAGGACAAACTTCAGTCTGAGTGGCTGTCACCATGTCAGATTTCATGACTCATGCAGACCAGTTCTCAAAATCATGAAAATTATTAAAACCTAGAAGTTTGGAAAAGTTGGGGGAAATCCCAGAACTGTCACTATAGTCAGTAGTCGTGCTAGCTGGGGGATTCTGGGATTTGTCATTCAGAAAAGCCATGTCTCAAGCTCTGTGAACATTTCTCCACATTTCTATATAAATCAGAATATATAATATAGACATTGATACATTTACAACATTCCTATTGAGCATTCATCTATTAAGAACCATGACTGCTACTAAAGTTATCGGCCACTGCAAATGAAGTTGAAAATCAGATTATACAGAAATGTAGAAATTATCTCAGACGCAAAAGAGACACAATAGAGACAACAATCTCCATAAAGCTCTTTCAAATTAAAAAATGGCAAAAAGGATATGCGTGTACCGTGATTTTTCACTCTGTAGTGCTTCCAGTGCTTTATTGCGTGAGTTGAGAAGCTGATCAGCTTCCTGCAGCCTAACTTTCAGGACAGCCAACTGGGAATCTTTGGCAGCAGCAGCTTCTGTCAGATCATCAGCTTGAGCCTGAAGTTCCCGTACGAGTCTGTCGCTATTTGAATGATCAGCGTTCCATTTTTCGATCCTTGCTCGGGCATTGCTTAATTCTGAAAAATTTAGATCAGCAAACGTCAGCATGACTGATGAGTTTGTTAACAAGTCTATTTAAGCACTGCCTTTCTGAAGTATTCAGCGTGATTCTGAATACCAATAAGAAATTGAGATGCAAACAAGAAATCAAACTAGTTGGGGCTTAGTCATGCAAACATAAGGTTCCCAGTTTTCTTTTTTTATTATTGTTAGATTTTTTTATTACATTTGATGCTGTAATTTTCATTTGTAAGTGTTATCTTTCCAAAAAGACATAGCTATCATAAAGCATTCAGGCACACAGCCATTAAATATAAATGTGGAGTTTGTTTCCAAAAAGTACCAAATTCAAAAAGAAATTCTGAAAAATAAATGGAAGCACATTGTTTACTAGGAATAGAATATTATGTACAGATCAGCACCATCAAAATATATCAAATTACTTTGGTACTGGGCCTAGAAAATTGCATTTTATAGGAAAGTAATGCATATCTTCAGCACTTTTTTTCAGTTCCTGGAAAATTTGTTCAGATGGATTTGGTATCATTTGGAAACAGGCCCCATAAATGTATAAGTGTTTCTTCACAGTGGATTTAATAATAATAATAATAATAATAATAATAATAATAATAATAATAATAATAAGTATTTATATCTAGATTTTCTCCCACGAAGGGACCCAAAACGGCTTCCAACATATTAAACACAGTACAATACAACAGCAATTAAAACACACATATAAACATATAAAACAATCAATAAACATAAATATGCATTTTAAAAGCAATATAAGTTAATGTGGAGTCTTGTCAGATCCTATTGCACTTCGCTCCAGTCGATAAAAATTAGCCTTCCTGACACATCAGTCTAGGTTTATTCACTGAAGGCTTGCCTAAACAGAAATGTTTTCAGCTGTTTTTTGAAGCAAGAAAGAGAGGGTGCTGTTTTAATTTCCCTGGGGAAGGTATTCAAAGGCTCGGAGCGGCCATCAAGAAGGCCCTCTCTCTCGTTATGGCCAACCACATTTGGGACGATGGAGGAAGTGAGAGTAGGGTCTTCCCTGATGATCTTAGGGATTGGGCAGGTTGGTATGAGGAGATGCGGTTGGATAACTAAGTTGGATCTGAACACCTTTGAAGTTCACATTGTTTTTCTTTCACCATATATTTGCTAAATAATTCCAGATGATTGCAGAAGTGTGTTTCTCTCTCTCTCTCTATTAGCTATTTTAGGTATATTTGCTCATTTTTAGTCAATATTAATTTGTTGTGTTGTTAAAAGTCCATGAAGGTCAATTTTGACTTGCGGCAATTCTAAGAAAGAAAAGACCTCCAAATCTTCTATCATCAACAGACTGAGTCTATTTATCTGTAATATGGCTAAACTTTATTATACCAAGTTTTCAGAGCAATCCTCTTCAAAATCTTCTAGAATTAAGCAAAACCACCACTTTCCTAAATTAAACACAGACTATAAACTTAGGTCATTTCTTCCCTTCTTTGTATTACTGCATCCATTTCACTCTTCCGTTCACATTTTATTTTGATTGTTGTGTTCCCATTGGCACTAACTGTTATAAACTAAGAAGATACCTGCTTCAAACCCCAATTAAGAAACATATTTGGAATCAAAATACAATTGCTGATTCTGACTATAAAAGACCTATTGAATCAAATCCGACTTGCTAAGTCAACAACTTGCTAGGTTGGTGCCGTCCCTGCTCTCTTTTCACTGGCAGATAAAAACATTCCTTTGCCATCAGACATTTATATACGGATGAGCATTGAGCTTTTAATAGTGGTGTGACTGGGATTTCAATGTCAATATAAAGTTTAGATCTATTTTTATATTGTAATGTTTATTTGTTTTAATATCATTAATTGTTTAATTGCTTTTTAAAATTTTACATTTACATTTTTAAAAATGTATACTGTTTTTAATTAGTATTGTTTTAGATTTATTGTTAGTCATCATAAGTCCCTATCCGTTCAGAAATGCAAGATAAAAACATAATTTAATATTACAATATATTGCTATTATAATCATCCACAGTATTTTCCGTTTAAAGAACCTCTTGATTTTCATACTACTTATTGCACAAACAAAATCATCAATACTTTCCATTTTCATTGCATGTTTCAGCTATTCAGAGCACTTCAGAGAGATCACTGTAGTAATATTATCAACACAGCCCTGTGAAACCTTTTCAGCCACCAAATAATATTGGTCTGAAGAATCTTCAAAATGTCGAAGTTTTAGATCTTTCCTTACCTGTTTGGGTTTCTTTGGCTCTCTGAATTAATGATGCCATTTCTTGATTTAAAGATTGCACTTCGTTCCGTAGAAGTTGATTCTCCAGGCGAAGATTGGACAACTCATGAGATGTGTTGTCATTTGTGGCAAGGCTGGGATTAGCTTCCACACCTTGAAGGGAATCTTTCTTAACCTCTGCCTCTGTCTCTAGGCCAGAACTGGAACTATCAGGAGTTTCTGTATGAAGAAAAACATACTTGGATACAAACATTTCTTGTTTCCCCTTCTTTCTTCAACACTACAAGATCCGGTATTTAATTTGAAGCAAGACCTACTGAGTTCAATGAGTCTTACTCTCGCAGAGGCAAATATAAGATTGCAATCCAATAACAATCCTATACAAATAACTACTATAGCAATCAGGGAGATTGGGAGACACTAATTTTTAAGGTGTTGTTATTGCAATTATGAGGCCGCAGTGACACAGTGGTTTAAATCGTTGAGCTGCTGAACTTGTTGACCAGAAGGTCAGCAGCTCAAATCTGCAGGGCAGGGCAGGATGATCTCCCATTGTGAGCCCCAGTTTCTGCCAACCTAGCAGTTCAAAAACATGTAAATACGAGCAGATCAATAGCTACCACGTCAGTGGGAAGGTAATGGTGCTCCGTGAAGTAATGCTGGCCACATGACCTAGGAGGTGTTTATGGACAACGTTGGCTCTTCAATTTAAAAATGGAGATGAGCACTACCCCCCAGAGTAGGATTCGACTAGAACTGCTAGGTTGGCAGAAGCTGGGGCTAACAGCAGGAGCTCATCCCACTCCCTGGATTCGAACCGCCAACCTTTCGGTCAGCAAGTTCAGCAGCTCAGTGATTTAACTCTCTGCATTATTGGGGGGCCCTAAGCTACAATACTTAGAATATAATCCTTGGGAAGTTGTGTCCCTATTTTACCTAATGAAAAGCCTGGAATGAAAACAAGGCTCACTCTTCAGCTGATCCATAACAATCCATGCAGAGCTGGTGTCAACATTTAACACGTAGCTGAACATATACATTCATACTCTTACATAGCATTGCTTCAGATAACAAAAGCAGAACACCACCCTGCAGTCATCATAAAAAGGTAAGATTCCTCTCGCAACTAACACAATGTATACTTTTAATTTAAACATATCCCATAACAACTGCAGTTATACCATTGCCTTGGTTCGGAACTGAAGCGTCTTCTCCCATTTTGAGGCTCTGTGAACTTGCCGAGACAGAGCTGACACTGGAAGACCGGGAATGGTTCTGAGTAACAGCTGCTCTGCTTTTCTCTATTTTAAGATCCTTTTTCCCATTTGGTTCTTTTTCAGAGCTATTGAGAAAGTCAAACAAGAGTTCATCATTGGGTTCAGACTTTTTCCTTCGCACAAACTGGGAAGACGGTCTGGCCACTGAAACTGCTTCTACGGAAGGAGAGACTTCCACAGACGTTCTGGATGCTACCTTAACATTGGCAGTTCCTGCCAAAATGGTTGCCTTCTGATGCTTGATGTTATCTGCTGCCGAGGAGATAAAGCTTGATTTAGATGATGTCTGAAACTGCTGCTGCTCTCTCGCCTGTTGGTGCACTTTGGGGTAGTCACTGACTTCGTTCAAGTGGCTATTGCTGTAGGCTGCAGGGCCAGGGCTCTCTTTCTTGCTTAATGCCGAGGCAGCGCCTTGATCCACCCGGTTGAGAAGGTCCTCTGCCTTTCCAGCCAAATCAGTAAACCAAGACATGTTGGAGGTGGAGTGTTGCAATGGATCTCAACCATCAAATAGTCACCCTTGGGAAAGGAAGGTGCAAACAGAGGGAGATGACATTACAAAGATTGCCAACACCAAACATCACAAAACAAACAATCTTGGGTCATTTAGATGTTATTATCCCTTTTTTTGCAAGAGCTGTTCAGTAGTGGAACTCTCTGTCCCGGAGTGCAGAGGAGGCTCCTTCCTTAGAGGCTTCTAAACAGAGGCTGAATGGCCATCTGTCAGGGGTGCTTTGATTGAGCTTTTCCTGCATGGCAAGGGGTTGCACTAGATGGCCCATGTAGTCTCGTCCACTGTTATAATTCTATGATTTTGTCACAACTAAAAGCCAAAATCACTGTACTAAGGAGGTGATTCCATCTATAAAAATCACATCCAACCTCCAAACATATTCAGGCTGAAAATCCCTTATATGAAATAAATACATAGATATAGGATGGTTGATACCTGGCTTGAAAAGGGTACCCGTGAAAGCGATTTAGGAGTTTTAGAAGACCACAAGCTGAACATGAGTCAACAATGTAATGCAACTGCTAAAAAGCCAATGCAATTATAGACAGGAGTATACTGTTGAGATCATAGGAAGTCATAGCCTCACTCTATTCTGCTTTCGTCAGACCTCATCTGGAATAATACTGTATCCAGTTCTTGGTAACATAACTCAAAAAGGATACAGTAGTCTATCATATCCAACCCTCACTATTCCAATGTTCTGTATTATCCAACGCTGTCTGCATCCCGCCCGGATCCATAGCTATTTCAATACATTGCAATGTTTTGGTGCTAAATTCATAAATTACTACATAACGTTACTGTATACTGAACTACATTATCTTTTGATTTGTTGTAAAACATGATGTTTTGGTGCTTAATTTATAAAATCATAACATAATTTGACGTTTAATAGGCTTTTCCTCAATTCCTCCTTATTATCCAACATTTTCACTTAGCCAACATTCTGCTGGCCTGTTTATGTTGGACAAGCGAGACTCTACTGTATTGACAAACTAGAACGGGTCCAGAGAAAGGTGACCAAAATGATCAAAGGCTTGGAAACCAAGTGCTATGAGGAGTGGATTAAGAAGCTGGATATGTTTAGCCTGCAGAAGAAAAGGCTGAGAGGGGGCATGGCAGCCAAGTTTAAATATATATTTTTTCGTGTCAAGAGCAACTTGAAAAATTACAAGTTGCTTCTGGTGTGAGAGAATTGGCCGTCTGCAAGGATGTTGCCCAGGGGATGCCTGGATGTTTTGATGTTTTACCATCTTTGTGGGAGGCTTCTCTCATGTCCCCACATGGGGAGCCAGAGCTGACAGAGGGAGCTCATCAGCGCTCTCCCTGGATTTAAATTTAGGAGGGGCATACTTGTTTTCTACTGCTTTGAAGATTAGGACATGATGGAGCAATGGATTCAAACTGAAGTAAAGAATATTCCACCTAAATTATTCAAGAAGCATTCTCTCCTGACGTTTCGCCCACATCTATGGCAGGCATCCTCAGAAGTTGTGAGGTCTGTTGGAAACTAGACAAATAAGGTTTATATATCTGTGGAATATCTAGGGTGGGAGAAAGAACTCTTGTCTGCTTGAGGCAAGTGTGAATGTTTTACACTTGCCTCAAGTGAATGTGAAGGTGTGAAACGATAGAGAATGCTTCTGAAACCTGGCCATATAGCCCGGAAAACTCACAGCAACCCAGTGATTCTGACCATGAAAACCTTCAACAACACATTCCACCTAAACATTTGGAAGAATTTCCTGATAGCAAGAGCTGTTTGACAGTGGAACATGCTGCCTACTCGGAGTGTTATGGAGTCTCCTTCTCTGGAGGTTTTAAAGCAGATGCTGGATGGCCCTCTGTGAGGGGTGCATTGATTGTGCTTTATCTGCATGGCAGAAGGTTGGACTGGATGGCCCTTGGAGTCACTCCCAACTCTATGATTCTATGTTTTTATTAAATGCTTATTTTGGATTTAAGGTTTTTTTTTTTCAGATATTAAAAATGCATCAAATACAAGTTAAGATCCAATTCAAGAAGCACATAGATTAGTGTGAGGTGGTGAAAACTGCAACTTCCTTAAAGTGTGGTGAATTCTCCTTCACATGTTTAAACAAAGGCTGAATGGTCATCTCTCAGGATGTTTCAGCTGTGTGTTCCTGCATGGCAAGGTGTGGGACCGGATTTTATTATAATTATACAATTCTGGAAGAAAGAAGGCGTATTCTGGAAGATGGAGAGAAGTAATCTCTCCAACACACAATAGTATTTAAGTTCAGCCCAAGAGACAAATGTAAACAAAACAGTCACAGATATGGGTAAACCCTTATCTCTGGCTCATGAGAATACGTTTTCCATTCTCTACCGTCTGGACAACTACAGGCAGGCATATTGGTGACTGGTCCATCCACATTCTTTGCTTGCCTACAGCAATGTATACCAGAAGATAGTTACATCTGGAGGAGAAACACTTTCTGAATTGACTCTTAGGCAACATTTAAATACGACCTTGTCACATTGAAACATAGAATCATAGAATCAAAGAGTTGGAAGAGACCTCATGGGCCATCCAGTCCAACCCCCTGCCAAGAAGCAGGAATATTGCATTCAAATCACCCTGACAGATGGGTGATGGGACATATCATATTATACTAGACACTTTGCCTAATCTGTACCTGAGTGGGTGGATTTGCTGGTGCTCTGGAAGGCCATGCCCCCAAAAACAAAACAAAACATGAAACAAACCAGTAGGCATGCTAGGGAAAAATCACTCCAAGAGCAAAAGTAGAATAATAATAATACTTTGTTGTTGTGAGGTTTTTGGGCTGTATAACCATGTTCCAGAAGCATTTTCTTCTGATATTTCACCCACATCTATAGCAGGCATCCTCAGAGGTTGTGAGGTCTGTTGGAAACTAGGAAAATAGGGTTTATATATCTGTGTAATGTCCAGGGTGGGAGAAAGAACTCTTGTCTGTTTGAGATAGGTGATTAGCATTTAATGTCCTAACAGATTCAAGGTCTGGCTTCTTACTGACTGGGAATCTATGTTTTCTTACACAGATATATAAACCCCGTTTTCCTAGTTTCCAACAGACCTCACAACCTCTGAGGATGCCTGCCATAGATGCAGGCGAAACTCCTGGGGAGAATGCTTCTGGAACATGGCCATATAGCCTGGAAAAGTCACAACAACCCAGTGATTCCAGCCATGAAAGCCTTCCACAATAATAAATACTTTATTTATATACTGTCCTATCTCTCCAAAGGGACTTGGAGCAGTGAACAACAAAGTCAGCACACATTCAAGATGCAGGTGAAACATGGCCATGTTCTAGAAGCATTCTCTCCTGACGTTTCGCCTGCATCTGTGGCAAGCATCCTCAGAGGTTGTGAGGACGTCAGGAGAGAATGCTTGCAGAACATGGCCATACAGCCCGAAAAACCTACAACAACTTAGTTAGGGCTGTTTTTAATAGTAACTCTCCAGCAACTAGAAACTACATTAATCCAGCACCTACCAATTTCAGACTGTTTGTTATGTAATGAATTCAAAAACTTTCAGTGCTACTTAAGAAAACGAATCTCAAGTATCTAGTGTTGTCTGACACAGTGGTTCATTCAGTCTTTTGACCCTGTTTCGTGAAGAGTCTCAAGGTTAGGGGTTAACTGAGGTCCCATCTACACTGCCATATAAAATCCAGATTATCTGCTTTGAACTGGATTATATGGCAGTGTAGACTAATATCAAGTTCAAAGTAGATAATCTGGATTTTATATGGCAGTATAGATGGGGCCTTAGAGCCTATTTTACTTTTATCACTGCCCTGAATCACTTAGGAGAGATAGGGCGGGTTATAAATAAAGTTATTTATTGGGTTCTTGTGGGATTTTTCGGGCTATATGGCCATGTTCTAGAGGCATTTCTCCTGACGTTTCGCCTGCATCTATGGCAAGCATCCTCAGAGGTAGTGAGGTCTGTTGGAAATAGGAAAATGGGTTTATATATCTGTGGAATGGCTGGGGTGGAGCAAAGAGCTATTCTCTGCTGGAGCTATTTATTTATTTATTTGGGGTTCTTTTACCCCGCCCTTCTCACCCCGAAGGGGACTCAGGGCGGCTTACAAAAGCAAAGGCACAATTTGATGCCTGCATCATAAAAACAATCATACACAAAATTACATCAATACACAGTTAACAACAAATATGCATTATAACCATAAAATCAATAAAATCAATAAAACCAAATACAAACCCAATTTCTCCTCTTACATGGTCAGCGTTCACTACTCATAGATCTAGTTTTACATTCCACTTCATCAATCCTGCTGGTCTTACTCGCCTGGTTGTCTGATTTAATTGCCGGAGTGCCCAAAGGCCTGGTCCCATAACCAAGTCTTCACCCTTCTCCTAAAGGCGAGGAGGGATGATGATGCCCTGATTTCCCCCGGGAGTGAGTTCCACAGGTGAGGGGCCACCACTGAGAAAGCCCTGCTCCTCGTCCCCACCAGCCTCACTTGTGACAGTGGTGGGGTCGATAGCAGGGCCTCCCCAGATGATCTCAGACTCCGAGGTGGGACATAGAGGGAGATACGTTCAGACAGATACACTGGATACATACAGCTAGGTATGAATGTTTCAACTGACCACCTTCATTAGCATTTGAAGGCCTGCCTGAGCCTGGGAAAATCTTTTGTTGAGAGGTGTTAAGATGTTATTTATTATTAAAAGTTATTTATTATTTAAGTTATTTATTTATCAACAGTCTGTTTACACTAATCGACTACCTTTATACAGTACCATTCCATGTAATGTTGCCACCTTTTTGAACCCAGCTACAGGATAGTAAGGCTTTCAGGAACTAGAAATCCCTCATTATTGCTATTTCATACCTGGAAAAGCTCTAAATACGAAATCACTTCATATTTCATAGACACAGAGCTTGCAGCACAATGTTTATAATCATGTTGTGCATGAAACAAAGTTTGTGTGCATCGAGCCATCACAAAGCCAAGGCGACACTCTCTCAGCCACTTATGGGGACAATTCTGGATTTGGGGGCACTTGGGGTAAGAGATGCTCAGCTAGTATAATCTCAATGCCCACCAACCTCTCTCCTCCTGGTCAGATCTTTGCTTCTCCTCCTCCTCTTCCTCTTATGGGCCTCTGCTTACCTCTCTGCCTTACTTTGGACCTTGTCCCTGGCCCAGATTCCCAGAGCCAGGAGCCCAGATCGGGCCCCAAACGACGAGGAGGGAGAGTCACGGCGAAGGCCGACAATCGCCGCCAGGCCTCGGTCTAGGAAGGGCGACCGGATCCATCTTCCGGGAGACGTGGCTACCAATACGAAGGCGTTAGGACCCAGCGGCGCCTGCGCTGTCCCCTTCGCAAAACTCCTGCGCATGGCAGGTAAAGTCGCTAATACGCATGCGCGGCCCAACTCTTCTTTCAGACACAAACATTCGGAAAACATAGAGATGGAAAGGAGAGAGTCAGCCTCCTCTTGTTGCATTGCGTTCTGTATATTGCTGGGATTTGTTATAAAGGGCATAGGGACATAAACAACCAGGCACATCTTAACACCTCTCAACAAAACATTTCCCAGGCTCAGCCAGGCCTTCAAATGCTAATGAAGGTGGTCAGTTGAAACATTCACACCTAGCTTCAGCAGAGAGCTCTTTGCCCCACCCCAGTCATTCCACAGATATATAAACCAATTTTCCTATTTCCAACAGACCTCACTACCTCTGAGGATGCTTGCCATAGATGCAGGTGAAACGTCAGGAGAAATGCCTCTAGAACATGGCCCTATAGCCCGAAAAAACCCACAAGAACCTAGTGATTCCAGCCATGAAAGCCTTCGACAATACAATATCTCTTTGTTTGTGTATCCAATGTAGCTATATAGTCTGTGTGTCTACCTTCTTTCCCTATATTGCCCTGTGGTAAACTCTGTCTCATTGTGAATAAAATAAAAGAACCTTTTTTCTTCTCTTCCTTTCCTTTTTTTTTTTTTTTTTCTTTTTTCCTTTTATTTTTTTTTTTCTGTTTTTTTTCTCTTTCTTTTTTTTTTTTTTTCTCTTTTATTTGAGAGTCAGTTTGAGACTCAGGGTTTATCTACACCAGGCAGGGGGAAACGTAATAATAAGTTAATAATAATAATTAAAAAAACTCTAAAATTACAACAGCAAAACAACAGAGAGTAAACAATCAGGCACATCTAATCACCTCTCAACAAAAGATTCCCCCGGGCACTGCCAAGCCATCAAATGCTAATTTTTTTTTTTATCGTGTCAGGAGTCGATCCTGTTGTGAGAGAATTGGCCATCTGCAAGGACGTTGCCCAGGGGACGCCTGGATGATTTGATGTTTTTATCATCCTTGTGGGAGGCTTCTCTCATGTCCCCGCATGAGGAGCTGGAGCTGATAGAGGGAGCTCATCCGCCTCTCCCCAGATTCGAACCGGCGACCTGTCGGTCTTCAGTCCTGCCGGCACAGGGCTTTAACCCACTGCGCCACCGCGGGCTCCAAATGCTAATTAAGGTGGTTGAAACATTCACACCTAGCTCCAGCAGACAAGAGTCCTTTGCCCCACCCTGGTCATCATTCCACAGATATATAAACCCATTTTCCTAGTTCCAACAGACCTCACTACCTCTGAGGATGCTTGCCATAGATGCAGGCGAAACGTCAGGAGAAAATGCCTCTAGACCATGGCTATACAGCCCAAAAAAACCTACAACCCAATAATAATAATACTTTATTTATATACCGCTCCATCTCCCCGAGGGGACTCAGAGCGGTTCCCAAATAACATCACAAAACATACAGAGTAAAAACAACATAACCATAAGATTAACAAACAAAATATATGCATAAAAATTGGGTTGTTGTAGGTTTTTCCAGGCTACATGGCCATGTTCTGGAGGCAATATAGCCCGGAAAAACCTACAACAACCCAGTGATTCCGGCCATGAAAGCCTTTAACAATGCATAAAAATTGTCGCCATAACAGACACATGTATTAAAAATAATCCTGCCTGTTCAAGGCAATGAAGAATGTAAAAGTCCGGGCAAAGATTTGTGCAAGCCCAAAAATTCTAGGGGACCCGGGAATTAAGTGCAATGCTATGGCAGGCAACAATAATATTAGGTATGGGTCTGTGGCTGTTCATTCCGGGGCCGATTAGAGGAAATGATCTGGGTAACTGGTAGGAAGAATAAAGCCGTATTAGACAATGTGTGGGGCTGAGTTAGAACTGGCCATTTTCAAAGGCTTGTTGAAACCAGGTCTTCAAGCTCTTACAAAACTTGGTCCCTCAACTTCAACTTCCACAATTCCTACCAGCCAACCTTAAAAATTCTAGCATAGACACTGAGAACTGGAACTGGCAAAATTCTAGCATAGACACTGAGAACTGGGAAGCCCTGGCCCTTGAGTGCTCCAGCTGGAGATCAGCTGTGACCACCAGTGCTGTAGATTTTGAAGAGGCGGGAATGGAGGGCGAAAGAGAGAAACGTGCCAAGAGGAAGGCACATCAAGTCAACCCCAACCGGGATCGCCTTCCACCAGGAAACCAATGCCCTCACCCAGGCCTGTAGCGGGGGGGGGGGGGGGGGGGGGTGGTTAGGGGTTCACCCCCCCCTGAAATTTTTCAGGTTTTAAAAAAACAAAACCTGGTTTACTCATGAATTTTAACTGGTTAACCAAATCCCCATGCTAAGTCTATGAGACGTAAAAAATTAAGAGTCCCTCCAGAACTGCAAGCACTATCTCAAGCAAATATTGACAATTTATTCACACTGTCATTATTTGCAGCAATAGCCGATGTAGCGAAGCAACCAAGTTGGGGGGGGGGGGGTGTTGAAGGAGGCCAGACTTGGTGGAGGTGGTTGACGGGTCCGAGCTGCAGGCTATTGAATACACAATACACCTAACAGGCCAATGAGTGACCATCACTCATAAAAACACTGACAAACACAGCAGAAGGGACTTAAAAAGCTAAAAACCAAAAAAACCATTACAACGCATGCACAAAACTACACGCACATATATACGCAAACACACATATAGACAAATATATACACAGTCATATACACATATACAGAGACGGCCACAGCAACGCATGGCAGGGGATGGCTAGTCTATATAAATAAAAATGTAATGTTCGTTTGTGGGATTAACATAACTCAAAAACCATTGGATGAATTGACACCAAATTTGGACACAATGCACGTATCATCACTCATAAAAACACTGAAAAACACAACAGAAGAGACTTAAAAAGCCAAAAAAATATTAAGAAATGAATTACAACGCATGCACAAACCACACACACACATATATACACGCAAACACACATACGTGGCCATTCTAAATTGCACGACAACAGGGGGGAGGGCCTTCACACGTTCTCTTGAGCTAGTCCCGAGAGAACGTCTGGACACCTATCCCAGAAACACACATTTTCTGGGGTGGGTATGGACAGGCCCCCAGAAACATCTGTGTATTTTTAACACGGATTCTTCTGGGATAAAGTCCTGTCTGGATCTGGCCAGAGATAGCTAAAGGCTGCAAAACTACATGAATTCCTAGCACTGAACCATGGCAGTTAAAGTGGTTTCAAACTGCATTAATTATACAGTGTGGATGCACCCATAAGCCTTACTGTGGTTCATTGAAGAGATTTCCTAACAGGTAAGCTGTGGCGGGAGATTACTTCCATGTCACAGAAGCACTGAATTTGCTTTAGGTTGTACAATCAGCTGTATTGCCAATAAGTTCAATTGAAACTCTATTAGACAAGATAAACACATCTAGGTTTGCTTTCCTATCTGCTCCCAGCCTCACTAGACATACTAGCTATTAATAACTAATAGATAAATGGTGCTCCCTATATGGCTTCACTTGTAATTTCCACTCACATCTATGGAGTTAATATAATGGAACTGTTTTCAGAAGATGATACATATACAGGTCAAGTATCCTTTATTCGAAATGTTTGGGATCAAAAATGTTTTGGATTTTGGATTTTGGAATAACTGTATTTGCATATGCTTACATAATAAGCATATGATCTTTGATATTGTTGTTTTTAAATTGTTTTAAAATTGTTTTAGATTTTAGCCTGTTCTTGTAAGCCACTCTGAGTCCCAGGGGAGTGGCAGCATATAAGTTTGAATAATAAATAAATAAATAAATAAATAAGATATATTGGAAATTTGACCCAAGTCTCATTTATGTTTCAGTTCATACAGATAGACCAAAAGTTTAAATAATTTTGTGCATGAAACAAATGTTGTCTATGTTGAACCATTAGAAAGCAAACGTTCCATGTTTCAGTCACACATTTGGACAGTAGTGGATTATGAAATATTTGGGATTTTGGAATTCTGGATAAGTGATGCTCAACCTGTACTTTAATGTGTTTTCCTAGTTGTTTAAGAAAACTAATATCAAGCTATCATTTGTCTCAAGTCTACATATACGTATACATATACATTTTCAGGCTTCATCCACCAGAGGACACTCTTTGAAAGCTTTCAGACTCCCTCCTGGGAAGATGAGGGCTATTTCTAATTTAAATACAATTCTGTCTCTTCTATATCACTTTAACTGCTATGGCTGCACTCTGTGAAATGTTGGGATTTATAATTTGGTTAGATCATGGTGATGTTGCAGAGAATGCTGCATACCACAAGAAATAAAAATCTCAGCATTCCATAAGATGAAACCATGACAATTAAAGTAGTATCAAAGTGCAATAAGGACTGTGAAAGAGATATAAAGCATTCCAAGGATTGTTCTGAGATTTTGATGTTTCAATCCAGTTCAGCTCTCTACATTTTTTTAAAAGTTATTCTTCCTGGTCAATCCCCCACACATAAGAAGCATGGGCGTATCTACAATGCTTAATGAATGCAGTTTGACATCACTTTATATGTGATAAAAGTCAGTGCTATAGAATAATGGCAGTTTTGCAAGGTCTTTAGCCTCATCTGCTGAAGAGTGCTGGTGCCTAAGCAAACCACAAACCCCAAGATTTTATAGCATAAAAAGTGGTGTAGAAGTGTATTAATTCCACAGTGTAGAGATGCACTCATACAAAGAAAGGATTAGAACTGGGAGAACATTTATGTTGTAAAGATTTCTCCTGTGCAGAGTGAGATCTAGGCCCCTTCTACACTACCATATAAAATCCAGATTATCTGCATTGAACTGGATTATATGGCAGTGTAGACATATATAATCCAGTTCAAAGCAGATAATATAGATTATCTGCTTTGATAATCTGGATTATATGGCAGTGCAGAAGGGGCTGTAGACATTCAGTATACTGGGATAACTAGAACATAATCTGGCACATTATGAACCTATA